ACGCGCGCGCTCCACGCCGCGCGCGCCGCCGCCGTCACGCGCCGCAGGAACGCCTGCAGCACGCGCGCCGCCGCCTCCTCCCGAGCGCCCCACGCGCGCGCCGGCGCCGCCGCCGCTGCCTGGGGCACACGACCACATGCAACGCACTACGCACAGTGGCTTCGTCTTTGAAGCACTTGGAAGCCGTGTTTTTGGCAGTCAAAGCAGCGCCCTCTGGGAAACAGAGCGATTTATGCAACTCTGCCCCTGGTAGGTCTCAGCTCTTCACGATTTTAACCAAACGGGAGCTTGAACGCCGCAATAGTGGCAGTACGGTGACGTTGAAGCTTCCGATTGGATGAGGCTGTCAACAGCTGATACCTGCCAAGGACAGAGTTGCAAAAATTGCAGCGTAGCATTACTTTGGCGCTGGTTACGGACGGCGTCACCGCCACTCGTATGTTTTGACTTTAAAAAACATGGCGGCCACTAGTTCGGCGAGCCTCCAGAATCAAGAGCGCTGACACTCTAGGGACAGCCACTCTATGTAGTCTATTCTAGCTCGTTGGTGCTTTCAGTGCATCAATAAATAAGACAGGCGCGCGCGCACACACGTACACACGCACGCACGCGCACACACACATACACACATACATACATACATACATACATACATACATACATACATACATACATACATACATACATACATACAAGAGTTGTAAAACTCGAAAACTTGACACGTTTCTCTATGTATGTCTCCGAGCTAAATACAAATCTCTAGCCACAATTGCACCTCCACCTTCCAGTTTGTTTTTTTAAATTTACAATTTCACATTGTCTTTTCGCGTTAAAATACAAAACAAAACTACAGGGTGGTGGCGTGATTCTGGCTTCAGGTTCGGATTTAGCGCGTACACATGGATCAAACCTTTGGGTACGACTTCCTATTGTTTTGGGTGCCCGTGTAATTCGATTTGTTCAAAGAATTATCCCCCGACCAGGAACCTGGGCCTCCTGGCTTACTGTCAGTAACTCTACGCACTGGGCTATACGAGATGAACAACTCTTTGAACGTTTCCAAGGCATGAATATTGCCCGAGTATAATATTTCACTGTCACCACTTTGTCATCTTATTGGAGAGGCAATGATACAGCAACTGGGTGTAAAAGGAGACCTACGTACGTGTTCCGGTCGCCTTGACAACTCTTGACCAAATTTAATTCTTAAAGTACTTTGATTACTCAGTAACAAGGTCAAATCGTATTTTTGCACAGATTACTGACATAATTGAACGATATTTTTACGCCTCTGCTGAATAACAATCCGCTTTGTCTAGTTTTTATGCCTTTTATGGGACGTGTCATGCTTTTATGCCATTATGAGGGGAAATTTTATTATATTTCCCCAAATACTCATCGAACATTAATCCTGAAATTATTAGTATCACTGATAATATCCTAAATCCGGAAATAATATTCAATGATTGATATTTCAAGTTAACATGAAAATGTTATACTACATCAAAGTTAAAAGTAGTAACTTGACGTATCTACAGACTGACAACTCTAAGAAATGATTTTTGTTTTGTATTGGACGTGAAATTCGTGAGGATCATTGTACATTCTTACGTTTTCCAATTTATAATCAAAGTTGTAATTATAATCAATTTGTATTAGTATTACATTTATTAATATTTTATGCGCGAAAAAATTTTCCGTTTATAGTTACAAAAACTAAGGGAAATTGATATGTCTGACAATATAAAGTATGTAGTTGAACTCTATGAACCTACATACTTAAGAAAACTAGCTTTCACTTAGCATTAAGAGACGTTCTGCAAGAGAAATGGTAAGACCGGAAATTGGTTCCCAAGGAATCTTGCAGTGTACCACGTGGCACTTGTGGTGGGAGCGCGCTCGCAGCGCCTACCTGCGCGCCGGCCAGGTCCGCCAGGTCGGGCAGGCTGATTCCCTTGCGGTTCCGCGCGGGCGGCGGCGGGAGGAAGGGGGACGCCGATGGCGACGGCGATGGGGGCGGCGGAGGCGGCGGCGACGACGTCCGGGACGGCGACATTTCAGTCTTTATGGAAACAACCGTCCATGTCTTACTTTGCTTCGACAAAGAAACCCTGTCGTGCGATTAACGCTTTTTTTTAAATACACAGATATATTTATTCTTAAGCGGTTAAAAAACACCTGTAATGTAAATAATACGCTAACACCAATTATCGAAGTAGTTGGTCTTTTCATTCTAATACGTTTATTGAAGTTTCGTTCAAACGTGATCCTGAATGTTATGCTAAACGAAAAGACATTGGAATGAATAAGCAGAACAAACTCATTATTATTGAGTACCTCTACTAAGATATGTACATATATACATATGTACATACACATTATTGCCATTTTATCTTCACTTCACTTTATTCTAAACACACATCAATTGTCACACACATCAAAATAGAAATGGTTGAAATTCCTCTATACAATCATTTTACGATAACTGAACGTTGCCGACCGGACCTTAACATAGATTGGCAGAGATTGGAAGAAAGTTTATCTCTACAGAAGTAAATATACACTAGTTTTTTTGACATATGTTATTTTGATCGTCCTATATACAATTTTTACGAGGAGAAGGTTAGTAATAGTACAGTGGTGTCAATGATGTCTGCCGGAAGTGAGGGGAGGGAGTACATATCTCGCCGACCTACTCCAAAAACGCGATAACACAATTAACTAAAAATATTTGTTTAGATAGAGTTACGCATGGGCAAGTACACGGTTGACATTACTTCTGCTTCACATACATCTGTTAGTCCCTGATCCCCAGTAGGAGCTTTTCAAGAAGCTGGTGAGGGGGGAGGGGTATGTTTACAGTTCATAGCGAAGGTAGTGCGGTCATAGAAGCGCATTACATTGTTTTGCAAGAAAGATTATTCCTGTGACGCGTATTGCGCACTCGCCTCCGAAGTGAGCGATGTCAAGTGTAAGGCACCTGGGCGTTGTGGTTGCGCGCGCTGCGGGGCCGCCGGCCCGCGGGCGAGCGGTCCGAGTGCGAGGAGGCGGGCCGGCGGGCGCGCGTGCGGAAGGTGAGGTCGGTGCCGGCGAGCGACGGGCTGGCGGTGGCGGTCGGCGGTGCGCCGGCGGTGCCGCCGGAGCGCCGGGGGTGCCGGGCGCCGCGGGCGAGGGCCGACGGCGAGGGCAGACTTGCGCGCTGCAAGCTTCGCCCCGGAGAAGACGGTGGCGAGCGCGCGGCGCAGCTTGTCGGCGTGAGCGCGCTCGAGCGCCTGCGCTGCGACGCCACGAACTGCGCCACGGCGTCCAGCAGCAGCCTGCCAGCGACAACCAGATCGATTCGGAACACCAATTTTGGAGAAAATCGCCGGAACGCTTTAAGGCCTCTGACTAATGATTACAGACGGACAGACAAGACAAAACGGACGTAACGGACGTTTTGCGCCGTAATTCGATTTTTCGGTATCAACGTCCAGCAAACGTACATTATGGCTACACCACGTGTTAGAGGATTTGTTTTTAAATTAAGCAACTAGATTTATCCACTTTTTCGTTTCCAAAAATCCGCCATTTTTTGCGCAAGCATTACATAACTTCTCCTCTGCTCCGTATCGAGGAGGTACATATTGCTAGCTTTTCAGGAAATATTAGACTGGAATACGACGATGGCATTCCCCTTTGCGACTCGGCAGATGAATTTCTGTGAATTACGTCTCATTGTTGTGACATCTAATTTAGATGTAATAAAAGGTGTTATGATTGAGTAATTGTTTGAATATGCTTGAAAATAATTAGTTTTCGCCACCCAACGTCCCACCGATTTGTAATTATTTTTTTTATAAAAATAATGACTAAAACGTGTTAATTCGGAGAGTAATTGTGGTATGAAAAGACAGAATTTGTTGCGGTTTTATTCTTGTCCTCCGTGCGAGTACCTCTGCGCGTCCGCGCTGGGCGGTCGGCGACGGCGCGCAGCGCGTCGTGGAAGTCGCCGCACACCCTGCGCGCAGTCGTGCTTGCCGAAGAGGAAGTGCACGTCCCTGGAAAGAGGTCGCGGCAGCACGCAGCCCAGCGCCTCACGCGCACGCTGTTGTCCGCCCATGCGCGCCAGCACGTCGTAGCGCGCGCCCACGCACAGGCGCCGGCAGTCGGCAAAGCAGCGCACGCACAACCGGCACCTGCGCCACGCCGGCGCCAGCCCACAAGGGCCCCCATCGCATTCCTCGCCCGTCTCACACTTCGTGCAAATTCTCGTACAGTTTCTGTACAGAAACTTCGAGACACCAAACTAATAGTAATAAAAATATCGCACGTACACGGTCTGGGTGCTTCTGTACGAATCGCCACAAGACGCCGCTCGGGATCACGGGAAATAACTCCCGATTACTGTAGTACAACCTTCTGGGCGGTTTAGAACGAGAGAAATATCAAGTAATTGCTGTGCAGAAAGAAAGCATTCTCAGCAGAAATGCCTTTAAGATATATTTGCCCAGTTAATTGAGGATAAGAACGATGGTGAGATTTTTCTACTGAAATGACACACTCTGTATCACATCGTTCGGGAGACCCGTGACATGAAATGGTTAGACTACAGTTGATCTTCTACCTTCTGCTCCGGAAATAGAATTCGATCGATCTATTTGGAATGTTGTAAGGTTCGCGCAGTCTTCTTGAGGTTTCTCATTCCCCAAACCTCTTAATACCTCCCTTTCTCCGTCATAATTCAAATCATGTTATCGTTCCCCACCACCTCCTATCAATCCATTTACCTCTCCCGGCCACCGATGAGAACCCTGCGCCTCCTCGGGCGCGCTGTGATGAGCCGCCGAGGAGTTATCCACTTATTCGTGGTGGCCCGCGAGTTGGACTGGTGCTACCTCGCTACCAAGTTATTGCTAACTTGTCCAAGCGCACAACAACACGTGCGGGGGATGACCCCCCACCCTGCGCCGACGCTCCGACGCCGTGGGGTGCAGCCTCTCAGCCCACCGCACGGCCCCTCGTCGGGTCACGCGGGAATGTCACCCCGTCCCAGAGAGAGTGACTAATTACGACGTTTTCGTTACCAAGGTCTGCTACGGCCGAATAGCCTGATAGCGACCTATAAGCGGGCGTTGCGATGCATCAGAAAATTATGTACTAGGCTTAGAACTCCTGGTTTTGGAGATCGCGCAATCCATACTATTTGTTACTTATGCTCTCAACACAAAGAGATTAAATTTAAATTTCAAAACACGATCTCCGTTACACTTTTCGTTCTACAAGTTATTGGCTAATGGAAGTAAATCCTTGCCAAAGGCATAGAGCGATCTCGTAGACCTGAATTATCAAGGGTCAATTCAGAATTTTCACAGTTACATGGGTTGAACCCGGTAAATTCCTGTATAGTCGGATTTTTTAATGAAATATTATTTTGTGTATTTGTGGATGGTTTTTAAAAGTATCAGTGTTTTAATAGCAGCTTGGCTATTGCTTTGCACCCCTCTGCATCCGGATTTCCATTCCGCCTCATTGATGCGGAAAACTGCTTGAACAAACAGGGTTAACCGTCCAGATTCCTCGGGGATCTCTCACGTCTCCCAGCTTCTCATTCTACTACTGTTCTAATATTAGTATGAATCTTATTCGTGTCATCTATCATAACACCTATAATTATGAATAAAAAAACGCATTAAAATCAAATTACACTCTCCAGAAGAAGCGAAAGCTTCAGTACCGGAAATATAAATATTAGTGTTGAAGACTTCGGTTAAAACATTCTAGAAAGTCGTAATATAAACTAACGGGGAAAGTAGATTATTTTATGCCATTGTTGGCAATATTGAAGAATTTTTTTATCGTTTCAAAGTACACGTTTATCCACTATATTCTAAAAAGCCTATAGAAGAGATATTGTATTAGAGATATTAAATTAACTGCTTGGAGTAGATTTTACGACTCATTCTCCAACGTAATTTTCTCACAGCTCTGTGTTGATTTTACAAGACTAATTATTTAGATAATTTAGAACTAGTGGTGCTTAAAAGTAGTTTGCAATTTTCGAAAATTCAGAGATTTCAACGATAACGATACCTGCGCTATTCTGTGTCAATGAAATAATCGCGAAACTCTATAACGATTTTTATTCGGAAAAAGATATCTTCTCTAGGAATATACTATTACGTCTCAAGAAAGCATGTCTCACTTGGAATTTAAACGCGCTCATCTTGTGTCTTGAAAACTAGTTAAAAGCGTACCTGTGCATGGAGAACCACAGGCGCAGCACGTAGCGGCCGGCCGCCAGGCGCAGGTGGCCGCTGTTGGCGCCCACGGAGGCGCAGCGCGCGCAGAAGGGCACCTGCGTGCCGGGAGCCCCCGCAGAAGTCCTCGACAGCACCGCCCCGCGCGCCACGCTGTCCGCGTCGTCGTCGGCGGCGGGGGCGGCGGGGCGCCCGCCTTGGGCACGATGCTCAGGTGGAAGACCAGCTGCTTGTCCGCTGTCCGAATCCACCAGCACGTACACCGGCTCGCTGTAGGCCTCGCTGCTGTACGAGTAGAAGCCCTCGGACTCCTTTTTCTCTGCGGTAGTTCGGCCGCCGTCGCCATTGCAATGTTCCGCGCACGGCTTCTTAATGTCGGAGACGACGTAACAACTAGCGTAGTATTGCGGCATCCGATAAACGTGGCGTACTTCAAGTGTTGCACGATATCGTCCATGTATAAACCACCTCCTCTGGTATTTGATGTCCGTCTCGTCAGACTGCTCTCGCAGAAGAAACTTGAGGTCGCGCTGCGAAGACGACACCCTGCGGTCCGCCTCCGGCTCGTCGCCGGCGTCGTCCTTCCTGCCGGACATCCGGGACCAGGGCGGCTCGCTGGCGCCCGGGAGCAGCGCTCGTCCGCGGAAGGCGCCGTGCACGTTCACCACCTTGTAGGGCTTGTCCTCGGAGGAAGGGCACGTTGTGCGGCGCGCCCACTCCACCCAGCGCACGCGCCGCCAGCGCTCCATCGTGCCCATGTCGGGGACGGCCAGCACGCGCGCCTTCTGCAGGTAGAGGGCGTGGCGGCGGCCGCCGGGCGCCTCAGACGGGAAGACGAAGGTGCGTTCGTCGAACGGGGCGCTCGGACGGGGGCGCTTCTTGCGGCTGCGGGGCAGCCCACGCGCTTGTGCTCCGAGGGCTTGGCGCCGCCGCGCCGCGCCGCCGTCGCTTCTCCGAGTCGTCGCCGGTAAGCGGCTGCAGCTCGTGTGCTCCCTTGACCAGCGCCCACACCTCGTCGCGGAGCCGCGACGCCAGCGGCTCCTCCGTCAGCACGGCGGACGACAGGCACTCCATCACCGAGAACTCGCGCACGTCCTCGTCCCGCGTCCAGGTGCGCGCCGCCAGCAGCGCCACGCCTTGAACAGCACGTAAGGCCACACCACGCAGGGGTTTGTCGGTGGCCGCAGCAGGATGTCGCCGCGGCGTCCACCGGCAGCTCGTCGTTCACCACCCGCGGCGCCAGCAGCCCATGTGGAAGAGCGCACCGCGTCGTCGTGCGCTGGATGTCCGTGTCCGCGTCGAGCACCGAGTCTGCCGACAGCGCTTTATTCTTCTCACGCGCACGTACAAACTGAAATACTTATTTCGTACGAGCTTCAGCTCGTCTTAAGAAACAGTCAGCTGTTAATGGTGTTGATAACTTTTACTAGAAAAAGAATCTTTCATTTGAGAAGATGGCCCTACTAAAACGGCATTCGTTTCATCATCAACATTCATCATCATTGTCATATTATTATTATTATTATTAAATTATATTATTATTATTATTATTATTATTATTTTATTATTATTATTATTATTATTATTACTATTATTATTACTATTATTATTACTATTATTATTATTATCATCTATTATCATTATTATTAATCATTGAATTATTATTATCAATATTAAGAAAAACGAATTTCTCATTTACTCCGTATTACATTATTGATTAGTCAGTAATTTAAATGCAACAACAAACTTGCAAAATTCAATAAAGAAAACAAATTTAACAGAAAGTTTGACGCAAAAACGTAGTAATTAAAAAAATAGAACGGAGAGAGAATACAAATAGAGAAACAAATAGAAACAGGAGAAAACAGGTGTGGAAGAATTAATAAGAAACTACTAATAAGCGGAAGGGCAGAAAAGTGTAAAGATAATCTCGAAGAATTTTGTCGAAATGTGGAGTGTATGAAAGAAACTGAAACAAACATTTTTTTGAATATATATCCTCATTTCTGTTAGATTCGTAGGACTGAATAGACCCTCCTTAATTAGTTGCAGAAATATGTATCGAGAGAGAGAGAGTAATGCAATAGGCCTGCGAAGAGGAGAAAGGGAGGGAGGGCGGGCGGGTACCCCAGGGGATGACGTGCCAGCGGGCGTCCAGGCGCGCTTGGCGGCCGGCCGTGCGAGGAGGCGAGCAGCGCGTGACGGCGCTGGCGAAGGCGCGGCGAGGGAGTCGCGCGACGGGCGCCTTGGGCGGCACCACGCTCTCCGCCTCCGCCGCCGCCGCCGCCCGCGCCCGCGCCCGCGCCCCGGCCCGCGGCGCTCTGCCGCCCGCTGCCGGCGTCCCGGCGGCGCCCCCGCGCCGTCCAGCAGGTGGCGGCTGGCGCTGCGGCTCACGTCGCGGCTGGCCGCGGGCTGGCGAGGCCGCTCGTCAGGGGGCTCACGTCGCGGCTCGTGTTCGGCTGGTGCTGGGCTGCGTCGCGCTGGGGAAGCGGCTGGGGTAGCGGCTGGCCTGGCGGCTGGCGGCGCGGCTGGGCGCGGCGCTGAGGCCCGCGCTAGGCCCGCGCCGTCCCGCCTCGTCGTCGAGCGCGCCGCTGGGTTGTGGGCGGCGAAGAGCGGCGATGCGGCGCCCGGGGAAGAGGCCTCGGGGCTGCGCCAGGCGACGGCGGCCGCGCGCAGCGACGGGGACGCAGCACGCCCGCGCGCCCCGCCGCCGCCTCGTCCGCCGCGCACGCCTGCGCCCCACTCCGGCCACAGCCAGCCTCCGGCGCGACGCGCTGCGCCCGCGACACCCCACCCTCAACGTCTCGCCCACTAATAGCAACGCCTCATTTTCTAACATACTTTTCAGTGTAGTGCTTTCTTTTCAGAAATCGTTTAATGTAAAAAATTCTATACGTGTCGTTTTATAAAACCCTTTTTTAGGTAGTCACATTTTTTTGTTTCTTTATTTGAAATGATGTATGCTAATAAAATGAAATAAAAGCATATGAAGTTTTGAATGTGAAGGTGAATAGCCGTCAATTGTTTCGATAAGCACGGAGCTCAGCTATCAGCACACCCGCAAGTGCTGTTGCTGAATGGGAACCTACATGTAGCTCTATATTGAACCTAAATTTATAGAATCAAATGCGGAGAATCATCTAATGATTAATATTACCATTATATTGAAACGTGCTGTTATTTTGAGTGCCAAATTGGCACCGCAGAGAATAACACTAATCGAATAAAAAGTCAATACATTTTTTACTCTCGTATAATTTGTAATATAGAAGTGTATATCTATTCTTATCTCTCCTTAAAAATCTGGGCCCGTTTGTCCGTCTGTTTTTCCATCTGTCAGTCAGAAGTAAGACTGCTTGTTAGTCAGACAGCCAGACAGTCAGCTAGTCAGTCATATAGCCATTCAGTCTGTCAGCCGTCAGTCCATCCTTCACTTCACGTCACACCACTTCCTGCCACCCAATCAATACAAGTTGAAGGTGCCATTTTATTCGTCTTGGTATCCTGGAGAAGTCTTATATTTTTGGCGGAATTCATCCAGATAATTCGATGATAAAAATTGACCAAAAATTTTGTTTCTTTGAAGCAAACTAAGACTTGTTTTTGGCTGAGTTTATGGCATGTATGGAACCAATCATATCCCACTCGATTTCCTCTCGAGAATCAAGGCAAATAGATTGACATAACTCTTTAGTCGGTTTCCTGTTTGTCCGCCCATTCTCCGTCCGTCCGTCTCTCGTCCGTTCTTTTTGTCCGTCTCGTCGTCCGTATACTGCCCGGCCGCCTGTTCCGTCACCCGTCTGTCGCAGTTGCTTCGCCTGAGTTACCAATACAGCGGAGGGAAGATAAGAAAGAGAAATTCGAAGAGAACTGGTATATGAGCAATGTAAAGGTGAAGTAAATTCTTAATGATTAAAACTGATGCACTATTCCGTTAGCAAATGGTATTTATTAGAGAATTATGTTGACTCTTTAACCCCCCCGCCGCCCCTTTGACCCCCCCCCCCCCCCCCCCCTCTACGCCGCTGGTTTGGGGCCAGGGAATGGTTGCGTTCGTCTCCCCTTGCCTTTTCTCGCGAAGAAAAAACTGGCGCTTTCGACCCACGGTCTTCGTATGCGCCCCTCGCCGCATGGCGGCCGGCCCGCGGCAGTTTATTTGTTGAGTGCTCTTTGCGCTGCACATGCAACAGAGCAACGTTGGTAAATCCGATTTACTGAACTGCTGCTCAACAACGCAGCCAACGAATTTCGTATACTACGCCTAGTAATCGCAGCGCTCGAAGCGAGTTTCCAAATACATGCCTTCAGACACGGTGCACCTGTATTGTAATCAGTCTCGGGTCCAGCAATGTCGTAAAGTGTGGTCGGCCAGAATTCAGGAGTCCCAACACTAAATTGCCATACCCTCTTGAGTTAAACTTCTCCATTGCGGTCCGAAGCGTCGCCATTAACCTATATGAATGAAAGCTATGTTCAGTAGTATCACAGAATTACTGCCGTACTACATGCAAAATCTTACGGTGATAACGTGTTTAGAGATAAGTTACCATATCTTGCGATGTGCATTTGATGGTATTGTTGTATTACGTTGTCAGTTACCTCCATTAGCAAGGGGTATTAACGTTAAAATCTTCGAATTATGATTTTCATTAGTATCCTAGCAACGGGGGTAGAAAACTCTAATAAACAGCAGAATGGTTGCAGGTCGTGGAGGCAAACTTAAAAGATTCCATACGATACAAGAAATTGGGTTCGTCAAACGTATTTTTCACGATTATTAACACTACATAAACTGTAAGTGATAAAAAGTAATATAAGTGAAATTGTGAACAATAAGCGAAGTAATGAAAGTACTTTTTTTGTTATGAGAAAGCCATAATTTATAAAGAATGAAGCGATTGATGGCAAGTTGGGATGATAAGCGTGACGTTTGAGACGACATTGTCGCTCCATGCGACACGCAATTGTAGCTTATTTTGCGCTTTGGGCGCGCACCTTAAAAACTTGAGGACTTGCGAAACGTGCGAGTCCGCTACGAATGGGAGCCCAAGATTGATTGATGATGATGATGGTGGGTGTGAGAGAAGAAAAGATGATGAAATAAAAAAGCGAGGCAGTATTCGAATGTTACAGTCGCAAGAGTTTCAGCCTTCGAAACATAATAAGTTAACAGCATGATTTGCAAGATGTTAATAAACGTGTGCTGTATTTCTTAATTTAGTGCCACAAACTTCTACCACATACACATATACGTTTCACGTATTCTTCTATGACTTCGTTCCCAGAAAACTACTGAAATATTTTGAGATCTTTATGAAGTGGTATAATTCATAAATTCGCTGCCTCATCTCTTACGTAATTCAAAGTGAGTCTGTACTTGAATATTACTTGGAATAAATCATTTATATAAATTTTCCCACGGTTGTAAAGTTGAATAAACATAAAATAGTTTTTTTGACTTTTCCTTTATTAATTTTTTATAGTTTCATGACTTAATAAAAACGATGTAACGATAAAATAGAAATTAAAGATATAAAAATTAATGGAATTAAAACTATACGGTATTTTACATGGCTTTACTTAAAAGGAATTCCAAACGAAGTCGGAATGGTTCTTGAGTTACGCAGCAATTTGCAAAATTCTTGGAAATATTACGAAGAAACAAGCATGGGATTATCCTGAGCCTAATTATGTATATGAGAAGAAGAATGTCAAAAACTTTGTGTGTCATAATGAGTGATGTGATGGTATGACATTGCCTATATAGTCCTAGTCAGAACTTATAAAGCCTACACGTAAGTCTGGCATTTCGTTCCGCATAGCTTTGCGTACCCCGAGCGTTGTTTACGGCCCCTCTGTACTGGCTGAATAAGTTGCGGTCAATACGCGAGCTCTGAAAGTACATCCCCTTTTCTGAGGAAGACTAGCGGAATTCCAAAACTTCCACAGCAAACTCCCATTCTCTCGCCCTTCCACACAACACAAATTAGCTAGTACCTGCGTTTGCTATTTACAAACGACTTCAAGAACGCCGCCTTCCAAAAAACGTCTAGACGCGAAAAAACTATCGCCTCGGAAAGCGGCGTTTGCGAGTAGTCTTCCTGGGTGAAAGAAAGACAGGTTGCCGTACTTCCTCCTCCTTCTCCTTCGCTCCCGAGCCGCCGCCGTCGCCGGCGCCGGGCGTCTCTCATGGCGGGCGTGGAGTGTGGGGTGCGCGCTGGGGGCTTCCTCGGCGGAGATGGCGCACGGCGCACGCGGCGGCAGCTGCGCCCGATCACCTGCGGGCCGGACGCACGCCCCACAGACGCGCGGGGTCAGTTTGCGGCGCGCCGCTCCCCCCCCCCCCACGAGGCGCCAACAACGCGCGCGCGGACAGGAAGGGAAAGACACCAACATGTGTAAAACAATTAATAAGAGGAAAAATCAAGAAAGAAAAATATTGAAGCGGGAGGAAAGAGAAAAGGTAGAGAGAAAAGTTGATTACCCGTACCAAAAAAAATATGAATGTAAAAAATCTCGTAAAAAATAGAAGGATTGCGTAACACACGTAGGCTCAAAATTAGTTATTTTTCTGCAAGTAGAAAACTTTCATGATAATGAGACGAGATCGAGCGGTTTAATATTATCCGTAAGTCGTTATG